TCAGTAGACATCTGGTACATTACTACAGTGAATCTAGACAATAGAGTAACATGTAGCTATAAAAAGTAATGAGAACTATCTTTATACACTATTATGCATCAATATCCAGAAAATGCTGACATTTGTGAAAAAAGAATTTTATATAAATAAAAATATAAACTATAATTTAAAAAATAGAGGTGGGGCGAGAGGATTACAGTATAAGGGACATGGATAAAGGAATGTTCTGAAAACGCTTGGTTTTTATACAAGTTTTGATAATTTACCTTGAAAATGTGTATGTTTACATAATTAGGAAACATTTTTTAAGTCTTTCTTTAATGGGAAGAAAGTAATACATACACACTTTACTGTCTGAGTTACTAGCACAGTGATGAACTTTTTCAAGTAATTTCAAATGTTTCAAACTTTTCAAAACAAATTGACTCCACAAATTTTCATTGTTAAAACTCCTAACTATTTTCATTAATCGTATTACTATTTTGTGACTATTTTTGGTTTAAAGAAAATTTGCAATTACATAGCTATTAGTAAAATTTTAGATTTTCAGTAGGATACAAAGTAGATATAGCTGGGATTTAGCTCAGAGGTGTTGCCTCCTGCCTTCTTAAGCAGATATAAATGTAGAATCAATAGGATTATGCAAAACTTCATATTTTTGGATTTGAATTGGTAATGAATTTATAATGTATTGTTTTGTGTGTTGGAAAAAAAATTTCCTCTATACACTGAAAGTGCCTAGAAACAAAGACCAACTTTCATTTGAAAATTTGATTAGGCTTGGCTGGCTTTACTATATTTGAGGAGAAATTACAGTATTAGTGTGAAGTGAGTCCATAGTACAGGAATCACTTATTTTTACAATACTGGAACTGTACTGGGAGGGACTTCAGGACTAGTTTTTCTGGAATTGAAGGTTGGGGTTCTTCAATCTGTTTGAATTAAAGGTCCTCTAAAGACAGTATCACTGAGCTTTAGTCCGTATGATTTGCTTTTTTGCTCAAAAGAGTAGTGAAGAGCTTATTTTGAAAAGAAATTAATTTCAGGTGTGTATTTGGCTGTTCCAATCTAATGAGCCTTCTCAGCTGTTTTTAAATCTTCTTATTTGAGGAGCAAATGAGCATGAAAGATCAATTCTGAGACCAGAGAAGGAAATTGTAACCAAAAGCAATGGATTCTATTAGTCTAAAAATCTAGAAAACTTTTTTTTTTCTTTTTTTTAAGTAATGAAAAGATAGAAAACTTTTTAAATTAACATTTTACACAGGGACTAAGAACTTAACTATTTGTCTTAGTTACTTTTCTCATTGTTGTGGGAAAATGCCTGACATCCAAAGTCAGGGAAAGTTTTACTTGTTTCACAGTTTGTGAAGGTTTTGGTCCACAACCAGCTGGCTCCAACATAAGGTCGCATGGTAGCTGAGCATCACGGAGGACAAAACAGTTCATGACAGGCAGAAGACAGAAAAAGCAAGCAAGGGAACCACAGCTCTTTTTGTCCCGCATAATTTATCTGGTCTGCCTGTCCTTAGGGCATGTAGCACTCAGATGTTTATCCTAGTGCCTTTGATCCTAGAATAGCAACATGAACCAATCCCAGAGCTACACACTCTAGATCCAGCCACCTCTGAAAAAGCTGTACCTATTGCTGACTACATGTGGCTTTGAAGGAACATCTAGTTACCTCCATAATACTACTAAATCACAAAATTTGAGGAGTGCTTCCTATAGATTTTATTGCCATATTTTTATCTTTTAACTTCTAAATTTTAAAAACTTCTCTTATGAAATTATTAATTTGTGTAACATACTTCAGTAGCAGTAACTAGCACTTATTGAACCCCTATAGGACTTCTCAGGCCTATGGGATATGCTCTGCAATTTGATGAAAATCTTTACAACATGGATTTTACCCCCACTTTTAAAAATCTCTACATACCAATTATTTTCTTTGTAATATTATTAAATTCTAGTTTGTGAGGCTCAAAAGGGTTAAGTGATTTGCCTGAAATCCCTCCTCAAAGGACAGGCCAGCATTTGAACACAGGTATTCTGATACCAGAGGCTACATTTTAAACCACTGATGTAACAATCTCAATGTCTATGAAACGAAGCACTAATCTACTTTCATACACATAAATTCCCATTTTCTGGACAACTTATATAAATTAGTGAACCATACAGGGTGTGATCTTTTGTGTCTGGCTTCATTGACAAGCATAATGTTTTCAAAGTTTATCTGTTCCAGAATATCATTGCTTTTACTGCCAAGTGATATCCCATTCTGTGGGTATGGCACATTTTGTTAGTTATTTATTGATGATGGGCACTTGGGTTGCTGCTACTTTGGAGTACTATGAATAATACTGCCATGAACATTTATATGCAAGTTCATGTGTACATACTGTTATTGCTGTTGAATAAACCTCTACAGGTAGAATTACTGTTTCCTGGATATGTATATTTATGTTTAATATTTTAAGGAAATACCAGACAGAACATGAGATATCGTTCTGTATCTTTCAACAGTGTATAGCATATCTTGTAGTATTTACAATATAAGATTTGCATTACTTTTGCTAACTTTAGTGTTGTTTTTCAGTTTTTTGATGATATAGAAAATGGAATGTTTTCCTTAAGTTTGTTTTTAGATTGTTTAGTGCATTTTTGTAGAAGCACAATGGATTTTTTATGTTAATGTTGTATTCTAAAATTTTATTGAGCTCATTTATTAGTTCTACTGGTTTTTTTTTAGTGGATTTTTTAGGATTCCTTGCATACAAGATAACACTATATCATTTGTGGATAGAAATAAATTTATTTCATCCTTTGCAATATTTATGCCATTTATTTTTTTTCTTGTCCAGTTGCTCTGGCTAGAATCTCCAGTAAAGTATTGAGTATGTGTATTTGTGGCCAACATTCTTATCTTGTTTTTGATTTTAAGGAGAATGTGTTCAATCTTTTACCATTAAATATAATACTTTGCTTTTGATTCTTTACATTCATGCGTTTTTCAGATTTGATTCCTATATTTATTATAGGTCTATCTACTTATATTGTCTATTTTTTCTTGATACAGGGTAAGTAGTGTGGTGGTCAATCCTGACTCTTGATTTACAACTTGATTGGCTAGAGATCTACCTAGGAGACGAGTAGAGCAGATTTTTGGGTGTGTCTGTGTGGCCCATGGGGCTGTGACCTTTGAGACTATTTCTGGTCTTTGCTCTATAAGTAGCTAAATAATTTTGGAGATCCCATGCAAAGGAAAAATGTGAGGCTTCTTCTTTTCAAAAATTTCAAGACACTGACAACAGAGAAATAAACCGAGCCCAAGGCTCTTCTGAACACAGGCTACTCTGGGACTTCATGAATTTCATTCTCCTCTTTGCTTCTTTGATTTTGAGAAGTATTTTTCAAAAACATTTTTTTTTCTTTAAATAGAGAGCTCCATCTGGGCGTGGTGGCACATGCCTGTAATCCCAGCACTCAGAAGGCTGAGGCAGGAGGATCTGTGTGAGTTCGAGACCAGCC